GGCGGGCGATGCCGCGGTGACGGCCCCGCCATGGCCAAGCCCCCGGCGGCGGCGGTGGCTGCGGCGGAGGAGCTGAGCCAGGTGCCGGACGAGGAGCTGCTGCGCTGGAGCAAGGAGGAGCTAGCGCGGCGGCTGCGGCGCGCCGAAGGAGAGAAGGTGGGCCTCATGTTGGAGCACGGCGGCCTGATGCGCGACGTGAACCGGCGGCTGCAGCAGCACCTGCTGGAAATCCGCGGCCTCAAAGATGTCAACCAGCGGCTTCAGGACGACAACCAGGAGCTGCGCGAGCTTTGCTGTTTTCTCGACGACGACCGGCAGAAGGGGCGCAAGCTGGCGCGCGAGTGGCAGCGCTTCGGGCGCCACGCGGCCGGCGCTGTGTGGCACGAGGTGGCCCGCTCGCAGCAAAAGCTGCGCGAGCTCGAGGCGCGCCAGGAGGCCCTGCTGCGCGAGAACCTGGAGCTCAAAGAGCTGCTCTTGCTGCTGGACGAGGAGCGCGCGGCGCTGGCGGCCGGTTCGGGCGGCGCTGGCGCGGGCTCCCGCAGCTCCATCGACAGCCAGGCCAGCCTGAGCGGGCCGCTGGCCGGTGGTGCGGGGGGCGCGGGGGCCCGCGACGTGGGCGACGGCAGCAGCACCTCCAGTACGGGCAGCGGCGGCAGTCCGGACCACCACCACCACGCACCGCCTCCGCTGCTGCCCCCCGGGCCGCACAAGGCCCCAGACGGCCAGCCAGGAGTCACACGCAGGTCCCTGGACGACTTGTCGGCCCCGGCGCACCACCGCAGCATCCCCAATGGCTTGCACGGTAAGGGGCGGGTCCCTGAGCCCAATCGGGAGGAGAGGTACAGCATCACTCCGGGATTCGCCGTCACCCATGATGGGACCCTGGGTGGTGGTGGTGGTGGCTGGGTCAAAGATAGATGGGGGTGTGTGTCTATCCAGGGCCCCCCAGGCCCCAGAAAAGTTTGCGCATATGTGAGTTGTCAGCTGGGTTAGCCTCCAGCACTGCGAGGTAGACGCCTCTCCTCCGCAGGACGTTCTGGGGCCCCCTGCCGGCATTGGACCTTGTTCTTGTAGAACCCAATGAGAGGTCCCTTGGGCACAAGCGAACATCCCCTCTTCGTTGGCGCTTCAGGCACCCCCAAATTCTAGCGGCCTCCACGTGGGTGCCCATCCATACTGAAACCCAAGCAGTCCAGCCAAGAACCTGCCTGGGTTGCTTGAAGCCCTGCAATCCCCCTTGGAACGGGCCTTGACCGCCGCGTTTAGCTTTTCCCTTTCTGGGAAACAGTTTCTTTCGTTGTTCTATGGAGGTGGTGATCCCAGGGCTTAGGGTGAAGTTGTAAACTGTTGAGCCGGTTCAGGAAGTTCCATGATCACCTGTGGTCAGGGTGTGGGCTTGAGGACCACAAGAAAGCTCAGCTACTGCTTTCCAGGGCGGGACTCTTACTCTTCCTTAGCTTGTATGTGGATCCAAGCAGCTTGCAGGTTCTTCCGTGGGCTGAGCAGAGGCCTGCCTCTGACCTCTCTGCCTTTCCACTGGCGGCTGCTGGCACCTCTCCTGCCTGGGCGTGCATGAGTGCATGTGTTCGGGGCCTCTCTGTTCATCCACAGTTTTGGTGGCTTGGTTCCCAGTTCTGGTGGTGATCCTCAGCTGCTGCCTAAACTATTTGCCCGAAGGGGGAGATCAAACAGCCGTTTCTACATTTCTTTAGAGGCGTTCCCAGTTCAGAGAAAATGTATTTAGGCCTTACATACGTGCCTGCTAGGCCCCAGTGACAAACTGGACTGAAGAGCTACACTTGCTTTTTGGTTTTGTGGCCAAAGTGGGATTGGGGGGTTGAGGGTAGGGGGAGGATCTATATCCCTGGGGGGAAGTGCAGTATAGTTTTTCCTTTATTTACTATCCTGGCCAAACAGTTTAGGGCAGGGCTGGGTTGAGAAGGATATTTTGTTACCGATTACCAATCTACAACTCAGGTTTCGCTTTGTAACTCTGTATGGTGCTCCCCCCCCCCCCCCAAGGCCAGTGTAAATTGCTCAAAGTTGCGTGGTTTCAACGTGGAGGAATGTGCCCTGCTGTGAAGAGCCCCAGCCTTGCCTATCTGGCCTCATCTTCTGGGGGTCTTTGGAGGCTCTGTTTTCTGGTCCTCAGTTCTCCCAAGTGCATTTGAAAGGAGGGGATTACTAGAATCCTGTGACTGGAAAAGGAAATGCTGTGTTTTTGGGGTTTGGAGCTGCATCAGCACTGCCACTTGGCTCAGATGGTCCTGTTCTGCAGGGCATGGACATGCCCAACTGTCGTTGGCTATCTGTGGGGGCAGACCTGGCCGTTGTTTGGATGAGAGTCTGGCTCAGTTTTCAAGTTGCAGCAGTGAATAATGAATGCTGGGGCAGACCCTGCATTTTCCACCCCGCTGGTGGACTCCCCCAAGTCCGTCGTATGCTTAAACATTTTGTGTCCACAAAGCTTTTGCTTGGTGGTGAATTGATAACCGCGCATAATTGGGATGCTGAGGGGCTGGAGGGATTACCGATGTTTCGCCTTGTCTTTTAACATTCTGTGTGGCCTTCAGATGTTTTCATAGCAAGTGGATAGAGTGCCTGGGAACAAGAAAAAGGCCCTGCTCTTGAAATCTGGCCTTTTCTAACCTGGGACCTATAGCTTGGTTGTGTGGGGACCAGTCCTGAGATAAGGGAACCACCAGCCTTCGGTTGGTGACAAAATTAGTGCTGAATGCATTTGACCTCAGCTCATCTTCCCAGTGGCTGCGGGTAGCAATGTCCCCATTTTACAGGCAAGCAAGTGGGGGCTCAGAGCCATTCAGAGAGTTGTCTGGGATGACAATTGGGATAGACAGGAAATGTCTGTCCTGGGTGGGGTCACCCCTGTGGTCATCTTACTGCTTGGGCCACACACACTGACTTGCATCCCGGCTTGTTGTCATTGTGGTGGTAACTACTCATCAGCAGCAGACTCTGGTGACTCCCTCCTCTCCAGTCCTGACCCCAATTTGCCCTCAGCCTCCCTTTCTGGCAAGTGTCATTTCCTTATCTGTGACCTAGATAGCCCCATTACCCAGACCGGCCATCTGCCTTGGGTTCGAATCTCAGCTGGCCCACTTAGCTTGGGTAAGTTACTTAACCTTACCAGGTGTCCCCTGCACCTCTTCTGGTAAGTAGAGCAGGGCTCCTGGCGCTGCCCCCGTTCCCACAAAGCAGAACTCTGTGCACTAGGTCTCACCGTGCCAGCATCTCTCTGGCTTCTGGGGAACAAACCTTGGCTTCTTGTTGCTTGAGCAGACAGCTCACCTGGACCTTTTCTGCTGAGCACCTGGCTGCACCTGTGGGGGGCTGGGCTGAGTGTCCCCGATGATGGCTGTGGTGGGCAGTGCCCCATCAGTATTCTAGGCAGGCCAAGGCCAGCAGGAAGACAGCCCGTCGGGGCCTATGTATGCATATGCAAATGACTGGCTGGACTGGGGGCTGCAAATGACTGGCTGGACTGGGGGCGCCTGGCTCCAGTCCCATGTGACCCGTCGAGACCCAGGAGCCCCAAGCACCAGAAAGTCATATTTCTGCCTTTCAAGGCAAAGAATTTTCTGTTGTCCCTCCCCTCGCTTCCATGCAGTTCCTTCCTTACCTCTCATCACCCCCTGCAGCCTTAGCTAACCTGGAGAAACTGGCTTGGAAGGAGCCCTGTTTCCATGTAGAGTTTAAATTCACATGTTGAACTGCTCCAGTGTGTATTTTTGTTGGTTTAAAAGGGAGGTGAGACAGCAGGGGCGGTCTGGGCCCTTTTAAAAACCACAGAAGGCGGGCCCTGACTAGGTCTTCTCTGTGCTGGCCCAAAGGAGCAAAGGTCAGTGGAAAGGATACAGCGGGCCAGATAAGCCTTTCCCTCTCTCCACCTGACCAGAGGAAGACCTGTAACCCAGGGCAGTGTGCCCAGCCACCCCCCAGTTCATAACAACGCTTCCCTGTTTCCACTCCATTCAGTGTGTGCTCTGGAGAGGCCTGTCCACATTATAGATGGGGAAGCAGACTTGGAGGGGTACGGGGGACTTGCTACAGGTTCTGGGGGGGTGCTAGCAGCGACATGGGGCTGGTTTTGAGGCTCCTGTGCTAGAGTTTGAAGCCTGCTGCCCTGTGTGCTGGGGACAGAGGCTCTGGCTGACCCGGAAGGCTAGAGAGAGACATCGGCCAAGGATAGTTCCTAGGGGCTTGTGCTGAGCCCGGTCTTGGGGATGGTTAAGTGTGGATGGCATAGGGAGATTGGTGGAGGGATGCTGGGGTGGCCACCACCTGTGTCACTGAGGTATGACATTTCTTTCAGGATGATGATCTTGAGCGAAATGTCTGCCTTCCTGTTTCCGTGTGAGAAGCAGATTCCTGGAGTGGAAGAGAGGCGTGGTGCAGGCTACCTCCCGCACCAGGACATCCTGCCTTCTTCCTCCTCCTCCCTCACTTCTTGGTGCCAGGCCAGCTTCCTCGCTGGGTGTGGCCTCTGAGCTCCTCGGACACAGACTCTGCCCCATGGCCCCCAGCACGATGAGGAGACCTGCTGTTCCTCAGTATTTTCTGACTGTCAGGGATGGCGCTGGGCTGCCGCTTGCAACATTGGTGGTGGGTCAAGTCCAGTAGCTTGGGAGAAAGATGTCTGCTCTCATAAATAATGGTTGCTAAGTGTTGTCAAGTTGATTCTGACTCTAGCAACCCTGTATAAGGTTTCTGAGGAGCAGCTGGTGAGTTTGAACCACCAACTTTGTGATTCAAACAACCTCATGGTCCAGTGCTTATCCTATAATACCACACCAGGACTAGGAAATCCTATATAGGGTTGCTGTGAGTGGGAACCAGCTCCATGACAGTGGGTGTTTTGTTTTGGGTTTGAGCCATGGTGGTGCAGTGGGTTATAAACATTGGGCTTAACCCCAAGGTTGCTAGTTCAGACCCACCAGTGACTCTGAGGGAGAAAGAGTCACAGTCTCGGAAAGCGTAAGGAGCAGTTGGTTCTGCTTTGTCCTGGAGGGCACTGTCAAAAGAAGAGACTCCATCGCTGTGGGTTTGGTCTTTTGGTGTTGCGTTTGACTCCTTCTCTATCTCAGAGCACAGGGGACCTGGGAACTCAGACTGTCCTAAGCGCCTGTCTACGTTTCCTCATCTGCTGTGTGGGAAAACAAGGAGTTCTGGTAGCGTAGTGGTTACGAATTGGGCTGCAAACCACAAGGTCAGCAGTTCGAAACTACCAGCTGCTCCGCGGGAGAAAGATGAGACTTTCTGCTCCCGTGAAGATTTACAACCTCGGAAACCCTGTACAGGGTCGCTGTGAGTCGGAACCGACTCCACGGCACACAACAACATGTGGGAAAACAGTACCTGCCCTAGGGGGCGGAGGGAGGGAGGATTGTAACAAATGTTTACCAAACGGAGTATACTCATTTCTCCCCGCCCCCCCCTGCCCCCAGCACTGAGCATTCTGCAGGTTAGTGTGGATCTTGGCCTCACTACGTTGGTGGCTTACTGCTCCTTGAAGCCTCAGTTTCCCATCTATGCTATGAGAATAATGATACCCCTGACCTAGGACAGTTACGAATGACTTCAGCGACCCTCCTCTGTGAATGGTCTACTGCAGTGATATGAAGCCTTCGCTATGCCCAGCCATGGTCAGGGCTTCATAAAGGAGTGTGTCTATTTGAGAAGAGGCTCTGGTGGCGTAGTGGATTAGTGTTGGACTCCTAACCACAGGGTTGGCAGTTCAAACCACTGGGCATTCCAAGAGAGAAAGATGAGACGTCTGTAAAA